TTATTTCAATAAATTTTTATTAAGAAATTAAAAGATTATAATTTTAAAATAAAAATGAAATTATTTTAATTTTTGATATTTTATTAAAATAACATAATTTTATATTTTATATATTTTTTTGTATATTTAACTAGTAAACACCAAAATCAAGTTAAAATTAAAATATTTTAATATTAAAAATATCAAAAAAATTTAATCTTAAATCACTTTATAAAAAACTAAAAATACCATAACTATAGAGTCACAACCACTAACACCTCCGTTGCATCCTTCGGCCTGATATTTGACTTTTAAGATATTTTTAATGATAAAGACTTTAGGTTGGCCTGATCACTATTGCTGTTATAACTATGAACATCTATAAAGAAAGATGGGACGAAAATGATCAGATCAGGATAATAAAATTAAAAAGGGTAGAGTTTACCGCTAGCGCTGGGGTTGATCACTGAATCAGGCGAAGTTCCATTGTAGAAAGGGTAAATTTCATACCTAACTAAACAACTAGGGTTCAATACTCTGCCGCCAATTTGTCCAAAACAACATCTAGGGAGCTGTCCTATGGCTAATCGGAGACACCAATCACAATCCTTACTTGACAGGTCTGGTGTGCACTGGACCAGACTATACAGGGTCTCAAACCCAGAAATACTAGCCTCCTTTGTGGCAAACCTTTTAGCCACTGATTCAGCCTGAACCACCGCATCGTTCATGGCCATCGCCTGTACCTCGTTGAATCGAATCGGATCCGTGTCATTCTGAGTATTGATCAAATACACGGTTGGCCAGTCACTTCGAATGGAGAAAATCGATTCGTTGGAGTAGCGGAGGAAGCACTCATCGTACCAAATCATGACCTGTTTCTCAACCGGACACCTCTGAATCGCATCTCCGGTGGCAAACGTTACACAATTTCGACACGTAGTGGTTGAAACGTCGCCGCGGCAGAGGAAGAGACCGTAGATCCTGTTGGAGTTTTCCCCAAAGGTGGTGTTATAGAACCCATTGATGGCGGTGGCGCTGGAGAAGGCAGAGAGGAGGCTGTTAAGATTGGTTTGGTAAGTGCTGTTCCTGATGAAAGTGGTGGTGTTGGCGCAGACATGGTAGATGTAAGTTGGGTTGTTCTGAGCTTCAGTGGTAAGGCTGAGCAGGGAGAGTACAGAAAGGGTAAGGAAGAATCTGAAGAAAGACATTGTTAGGGATCTAAGTTTGTTAATGATCTAAGTTCTATATATGTATTCGTTTGCCTGGGACCATGGCTGAGAATCGAATATTGTCTGAATCTGGGGGAGGTCGATTTTTCAATTGGACTTGGAAGCAACGTGGATTGGGCAGGCAAAGGTGCAACCACACGGCACGCAATGAAAGGAAGATTTTAATTGTTTGGAAAAGGAAGGCATGGGAAATTCCTCGTGGGTTGTTGTAGCAACTAAAAACTCATTCGATAGCAGAAGTTGAAAATTGGCAAAATGCAAATTGTTTACGACCTACACTGAAATTTTCATAAATCTGCGGCTGATTATTATTTTTTTATTTACATAAGATATTGAATTATATAAAAAATAATAATTTTTTAAAATTTATCTATTTTGTATCCTTAAAGTACAGAATAAAAATAACTAGTTAATAATTATTTTTTTTAAAGATGTAAGATTTTAAATTAAAAAATCAATTCTAATTTTAATTTCAAAATGAATGAATAAAAAATTAATATGTGATATTTATAATTAAAAAAATTAATTTTATTATTTTTAAAATAAAAAATTATAATAATTACACGATTATTATATCTTATTCTATACTTTAATTACTTATTAAGTTGAAAAAGGGCCCCCATGTTTAAGCGTGCGAATTCAATGTAAATGTTGGTTTGTCTAGCTCAAGGTCTAAGTTGATGTTATATTTTATGTCTCCCATATAGACGTAGCTTCCCTTACTTTCTTTCTTTTACAATAATTGTGTTTTTAATATTTTTAAATTAAAATTTAAAAATTCATATACTGTACTATTATTCATACTATACTCATTATATTAAGGCAAAAATATGAAAAAAGGTCTTGAACTTGTACAAAATTTTCAATTTTGGATCTAAACTTCAATTACTCTCAATTAAAGTCTCAAACTACATGAAATACTCAAATAAGGTCCCAATTGAATGGAATATTCTTTTACCGTTAAATGTCTTGAATGCCATTAACTATTTAGCCAACTAGATTACCAACATGGAAACATGTTGATGTGTCATTGCCATGTGGATGCCACGTGGTGCCGCATGGATTATCCTTAGCTTGATTTCCCTCAAAATCAAATGGCATCCACATGTGGGATCCATGTGGCAATGACAAGTCATCACGTTTTTCCATAAGTGATCTAATTGATTGAGAGAGTGATTGGATTGTTAACTGGCATCCATGATATTTGCGTGCAAGAGAATATTCCATCCAATCGAGATTTTATTTGAGAATTTGATGTAGTTTAGGCTGTGCCAATTCAATGAAATATGTCTGTTTGTCTCGGTCGAGGTCTAAGTCAATGCTATATTTTGTCTCCAATTGAGACGTTACTTCTGCACTTTCTTTATTTTATAATAATTGTGTTTTTAATTTTTGTATAAATCAGTAATACTTTAAGAAAAAAATATGATTATTATTTATAGAGTGTTTTTTTATCTTGTATTATTTTTTAAGATATAGATTAATAGTATAATTAATATACTTTTAATATTAAAAAATAAAATTTGATATTAATTTAATTATTTATGTTATGTGAATTGTTTTAATAATAATTAATATTAAAAAATATTCTTAATTTATTTTTTTTTTTAAAAAAACCTTCCATTTTCTTTGGTTTATTCATATGATGAATTTAGGATAAAGACTGCGTACTGGGTGCAGAATTTGTGGTATATAAACTTCAAATCCAATCCAACAAATCAGGATGAAATTAATCTTTTCAAAATTGTTCCCATCTAATGGAACTAAACTATTGTTTTAACTTTTAACCATTGTTTCAACTTTCAAACTACAACTTAGTAACCGAATTGCATTTTTTTCTAAGTTTTGATCTTAAAAAAATATAAATTATTAAATAACAGAAAATATACAAAGAACAACATAATGTTTATGGTACTGGGGACAGGTAAAAGTATGCAAGCATACGAAGATGGAATTTGATTTCCGGGGAGGCAAGCCAATCGTGGTAAGTTAACGATCTCATCCTTCTATTTTGAGATAGCAACCGTTCAAAGTGTGCCGTTGGATCTCTTCTTTACATTATTGTCGAAAGGTACTTATTATTGACTATTCAACATTAATTGACCAACTCCCAGTGGCTAGCTGTAGCTAAAAGTAAGGATGGTAATTTTCTCCGCGACCCACGAAGCTCCGTGGAGATACCCGTCACGAGGATGGAGATTCCAAGAATATTCTTACCCATGAGGCGGGGATGGACGCGGGGAATTTCCTCCACCCTATGGGGATCCATATAAAAAAAATTTATTTATATATATTTTGTAAATATGTTAACAATTAATTTTTATTTACCCAATTTAATTTTTTTATTGGAATTTATCCAATTTAATTAGTTAACCCAATACCAACATAACTTAAATTTCACAATCCACTCTTTTTTCAATTTTTTCAAACCCAATTGTCGGCCCAACCCAATTTTTCTTTGTTAATCTAATATTCTTAAACCTAATTACCCAGCCCAATTTATAGCCCAATTTACAGTCCAATTACAGAACCATACAAGCAGAAGGAAATCCAATATACATAACCGGCTAACCCTAGATGCAGAAGGAAATCCAATTGCCACTTCTTGCAAATTGCTATCCCACCCTACTCTAGTTAGTCTCTTCTCCTCTGCTGCGCCGCTCACCATGCTCACACCACTCACCTCTAGCTCTAGCTCCAGCTCCAGCTTTTGTTTGTTTATTTGTTTGTATGTCACCTTTTATCTTTCATTTTCGCTTCTCTTTTTTTTCTTTAATTTCTGTACTTCAGTTTGAGCATCAGCATGCATCAGTTAACTATCACATATGTCCCATTACATTGCACAGATGGGTACCGTATGCCTATGTGCATCTGATATTAAAATTAGTAATTTTTAATTTAATTTTTGTGCTTTAGTGCTTAATAAATGGTTATAATCAAGTACTGTCATTGGTGTTTGAAGTCTAGCAGGGTTTCTGATAAGTCTTTTATGTAAAACTAAAAGGAATGGTCTGTTTTTATTGTGGTGCGCTTGACCTATCTTTGTTAGGGATGTGTCTAATGATGTACTATCAATATTCCAATGTGGACTAATAACTCTTCCACTAGTACTAATGATGTACTATCAATATTCC